AAAATGACAGGTGGGACTTGACCTTGCTACTAGAGCTGTATTTGTTCTGATAAAGATGTGATTTGTTCTAAGACAAGGACCCCCGTTTTTGATTCCTCAAGAAATTGGGTTGCGACCTGAGTGACATCACAGGCTGACCCACCCATCCCACTACGCTATCTTCAGTTTGCTGCTTTATATCAAGATCTTCAGTTAGGATGGAAATCAAAAGATTCTTGTGTTCCAGATTTTAGAGCTTAGTCTCTGGCTTGTTCTAGTAAATCCTTCCGCAGATGGCTGCAAAGTTTTTCTTTCCCTCTGAGCACATGGTTTCCTCTTGGCTTAGGGGAGAAAGCCCCCAAAAAAGTTGCTGTCAGGCTCTGATGAGGACTCTGTACTTCCAATCTGGCCAACTTCTGACCATAGAGCTACCAAAACTCCTTTCGGCTCTCTTGTCAGGCTTGAGCTCAAACAGTAAATATTCCTGGCTAGTACTGAACACCACCATGGACACAAAAGGTGTCCTCAGAGAGGGTACAAAGAACACCACTGTCCCAGAGCCAGAGCCACTAAAAGATGACCAAAAACAGAGGCTGAGACACCTCCCAAGGGCTGGCAATAAGCACAGGACCCCAGCCGTACATGGAGTTCACCCCACTTCTCTGCCTGGCCATATACTGGGAGCCCCAATGTGATGGTTGCCAAGCCAAGCTCACAGGACACAGGAGGGCAAAAGCTGTCGCTGGGAGAGAAAGGTTCAGCAACCCGTGGGTCTGGAAAGGAAGGGATGCCAAATTTTACCTTCCTCTCTCGAGTGAGCTACAGATTTGGGAGAGAGGACTCTGGTAAGGATTCTTGCTAGTTCTTCCAGGATTCCCATCTGTGGGCTCCGGAGCAAGTGGGGTTTAAAGTACGGGTGTAACTCCTGCGTTACCAGAACTTGACAAGGTGTCTGAGGTTTAGTTTCCCCTTGGCTGTTTCAGGAATAAGTGGTGGCAGTTACAAGAGAATCCCCCCGAGTCCTGGCAACTCTTCAAGCCCCATATGGGGAGCCTCGTCTGACAGTTTATGTGTGTGGTCATGTGGTCTCTTGTGGGTAGAAGACCATCCAGATACAGGACGAATACCAGGAGCACTTGGGTGTGGAGGAGGAGAGTGGCAGGAGTCCCAGCAGCTGGACGGGCTTTTGTTTTAGGTACTGCTTCTGTCTTGAGCTTTTCATTACCCTTTTGTGGTGAATCTCTCAGTGAAGCAGTTTCAGAATTCTGAAGCCTTCTGGAGGCTTCTGCATGCCAATTATAACAGGTATCCCATTCTGTTTAGGAATCCTTGCATTCACATGCACTTCTTAAAATGAATGAACTTGTCTAACTGGAACATTCCTCGTAATGACCGCTGGGATTCTAGGTTGTCTTCAGTACTGCTGGTCCGTGTGCGCGAGAGACTGTAACGATTTTCAGTGTAAAACCCCTGGGGTTTTGGGGGGGGGCACCCGTAGAGCCTTGACAAGACTGGGATCCCATTTTTGGAGTTTTCCCGAGAGGTCTGACAGTGTGCCTTTGAGGGGGTATTTCCTTTTCCTGGGGGACAGCCCTTGCTTGTCTAAGACCAGGTGTCCCTCATTGCACGGGATTGTCTTAGCGGGTGACAGGTGACCTGGTGTGAAGCCTGCCTGTCCATAAGCCCTTATCCTTACACAGGAGTCTTGTGCTTTGCAGAAGGTGGTCTCAGAAATGGGGCGGGTGTTCTAGTAGTGTCCATAGTCCCAGTTCACTGGCTTGAGAATGGGGAGAGATCCTGGGCAGGTGTTCGCTGCTCAGGAGAGAAGTCTCATTCTTCTGTAGATCAGGCACTTAACAGGACATCAGTCTCTCAGCTCTTAGGTTCCGGTCTTCTGAGGGCAAGTGCCTAAGAGGCTTCAGTTTCACTGTGGAGTGAAATCGCTTCCCAGTGGCCACTGTAGTTCTAGCTTGTACTACCCCAGTTCTTAGACACAAAGTAAGCAGCTGTGCTGGCAGGTGGTGCACTCTGTTCTTTGGAACCTGGGGATGCCCGTTCTTCACCTGAGCCTTCGGTGTCATAGAGACAAATGAATGTGGACGTGCCACTGGTTGGGGATCTTGGGACATTTCACAGTGTACCTCGTGGCATGGAAGTTTTTTTGAGGTCAGTGGGTGACCTGGTGGCCATCTAACCCATTCTGTAACCAACTTACCCTAGCATGGGGGTCTTCGAGTTAGGGGGCAAGCGCCCTAACGGCTTTTAAGTGCTTGACCTGTGCCCACCAATTTTGCAGCTTTGGCTTCTGAGGTTCTCATAACAGATCTCTTACTGCTTTACCTCACAGGCACATTAACAGACCTGTAGTAGCCAAAGAGATGATACTGTGGACTGGCCAAGAGGAGACCGTAGGTGCACACCACCGGCAGTTCCCAGCACGGAACTATGGACTGAACCAGCAACCCCCAACACATGGGCACTGGGACTAACCGCAGGCTCAGGACTGAGGTTCCAGGTGCCAAGCCCTGGCCTGGGACTGCAGACTAAGCGAGGGCCAGGGACTCTCTGAGAGCCTCCTGTCAGTCCAGACACTGTTAATGCTGGACCGGGAAGCCAACTCAATGGGGAGCTTAACACAGAGAGAGCAGAGCTCAGAAGCAAAAGGAACTTAGCCATGGCCCTCGGAAATGGTGACAAAGGGACCTCAGGAGGTTCACAGGTACAGCTAGCTGCCTGTGTTTCTTGTCCCTGAAGCCATCTGAGGTCTCCTTGGGATCCCACTGCTGTCACCAAACTGTTAGAAAACAATTCAACTGAGTAAATTTTAAAGATCTTACTGGCCTTTACTCAATCAAGTTGCAACCCCAGTCCTTGAGGAAAAAAAAAACAAGTGTTCCTATCTTATAAGTTCAGTCTTTATGGCCACAGTCACGCAGCTCTGGAAGCAATTCAAAGCCCACCCATCGTTTTTTATTTTTACCAATTCCAAAACCTCCCCTATTCACCTCAAAAGGCCTTGCAGATATTTTAAAATATTTAGATTTAAGAAACAAAATCCTTCTGGGAGGAACTGGCCTTCATTCCCTGTGTCTTTGAGATGTAAATGCTCTATCTGGTCTCCTCTAGGACCTATCCTGTAGCCCATTTCTTTGAAGTGCAAACTTCAGGGAGGTCATTCCTACCAGAAGGAAAAAAGAGGGGGAAGGCTATTTGGAACTCAGGTGAATGAAAATCCTAAGTGTCTTCTCCACAGATGCTTTAGCCGTGTGAGCAGGTAACCTGAATTCATTCCAACTTCCAGAAACAATTTGGATCCAACTGTTCTTTTATACATGAATGGGTTTTGCACTATTGTGCCTGGCTCGGGGGTTAGGGCATATAGAGCCAGACGTGGCTAGTTCTCTTTCATCTCGGCCTCTGCTTCCTGTTCCCACATACTCTTGAGGTGAAGGCCGCTTGGCCTTGCTTGGGCCTCTGCCCTTCTTTGAAGCAGTCAGTGACTGTGGCTGGAGGATTCTAACTGGCCCACCTGGGTCACTTGTTCACCTGGGGGAGAGGGAAGGGCACCACCAGACCACAAGGAGTCAGAGAGGGACTGTCTCCCAAAATACAGCCTACGTCCCTGTGGATCCAACTACCTGCTGCCGGAAAAATGTTCTCAGTCCCTCAGGCACATGGCAAAAGGCACTTCTGTCAGGGCGGGTGCGTGGGAGTTAGCCCTTTAGCACTTACGTACCATAATAGGGACCCAGGGCTGGCATCAGAAGGAAGGGCCTGTATGTCATTTTGCTTCTGAAAGCAGCATTCATTCCCACTAGATCAGGAGTTCCAGGACCAGGACTCTCAGCAAAGGTCACCGTATGTCACTGATGCCTTGGGTTTTCCAATTTCTGTGGGTTTTTTAAAAGCCAGATGAGAAACATTTACAAAATCCACAATGCCTTCATCCATTCGTTCCTAGAGAGGTCAGCCAATCAGAAAGATGGGCTTGACTGCAGCTTCTCACTCACGGAGCTGGGAGGAAGGTGCTCGTTCAGCTTGCTGTTCTCCGCACCACACTGCATTAGGATCACGTTCCTTCACCCGTCCCGTCCCAAACCCTAGCGCCAGGCATTAAAGACACAGACCTAATAACCCGGCATCACAGACCAGTGTCATCCAAGGGACATGTCGCTTCAACACCTGGAGGCTCAAGGCCCCCAGTTTCATCCCTGTAGGAATCAGTACAAATCGACACTCAGAGGGAGCTAGGAGCTGCGCTGGGAACAAAGGCAACAGCACCCAAGGGGCTCCAAGCTGGACCTGCAGTTTAGGAACAGGGTGCAGAGCTCAGGCAGCCAGCCACGGGGCGGGGGCGCCCCATCTCCTTAGGCTGCAGGGGCTGCTCCTGACCTTTACTCTTGCCCCAAAAGAGCCAGTTTGGGATCAGCAAGGGGCTATTTTTCTGAGTACTGAATATGGGCTTCGGCGTGTCTGTGTAATTACCTCTTGGCTTCTCCCTGGCCTCCACGGTGACACGTACCTCAAAGACTTTTTGAGTCTTTTGTTTTCATTTTAGTTTGTGGTATGTTTTCCATACAGTTTCTATAATCAGAAAACAATGCATGTTATTTAAAATAAATAGCACGCATTCAAAAAATTTTTTAGACTCCCGTCCAAATATCCTCCCCGTTTCGCTTGATGTTTTGAACGTGCTTCTGGGACAGAATAGTATGTAGGCAAAGCTGGCGGTGCCTGGGGTCTCCTGGAGGGCAGCCCAAGCAGCTGTTCTCCGAAAAGCGGAATCCCGTGGAAGCCCGGAGCTCTGGAAGCTCCCGCGGCGCGCCAAGGGTAGGGCCCAGACAGCAGGACTTCGGAGAGGTCTCCGCCAGGCGTGAGCAGCCCCGCCTCCGTCCTGCTCGCCCCCCAAGGGGACTCCCGCAGCAGGGCCCCTACAGGTGGATTTTGTCACGTCTGGGAGCAGCTTGCCCTACTGGGCGCTCTGCGCCGCTAACCTGCTGCTCTCCTCGCCCTCCCTGCAGGAGCTACACCGACAGCTGTTTCCTGGACTCCTCCCTCTATCCCGAACTAGCCGACGTCCAGTGGTACGGGCAGGAGCAAGCCAAGCCCGGCACCCTCGTGTGAGCCAGCCGGCCTCGATCTGACCGCCTCAACGCCATTCAGAGATCACCTCACTGCCTCTCATTTGCCTTACCCAGACGCACTGTCACCCCGCACCAGCTTCGGCCCTCAGCACTTTTTTTCCTCCCGTCTCCGCATCCCCTTCACCCTCAAAAACCTGACTGAGGAGACATTCTGGAAGGTTCCGGTCCCACTGTGTGTCCCCCTGGCGCTCTCGCCCACGGAGAGCCAGGCACCAATCCTCAGCGGCACCTTGGTGGCTTCCCCCTGCCGTGACAGCCCCCAGGCCAGGACCCATCAGGGAAGGTGGCGGACATCCAGTTCCCGTGGACAAGTGGCAGGAGAACAGGAAAGGGGACTTACGTACAGGGTGATCCTGAAGGACTGTTCGCTGTGGCCAGCCTGCGCCCCCCTCGCAGGCCCACCGCACGCTCGGTGAGGAGGATGCCTCGTGCGTGCGCGGAGAACACTCAGTTGACACTTGACATGTTCCCTGGGGGAGTGGCTATTGGGGGAGGGGAAGGAGATTGAAAAAGGAAGCTTCACGTGTCCAAGATGCATCCGAGGATCACAATCAGTTCTATGCTGCCAAAGATTAAAAAAAAAATTAAAATAAAAAAAGAGGGGCCAAGAGGAAGACATTCTTTCTGCAATGAAATCTTTTAAATTCTTAACTGCTACTAACTCATCACAGTGAAAAGTCAACCATTTGTAAATTGTTTCCCCTCTTTATCCCTCGCCCTTAACGCCCCACCTTCTCTCTCAGGCCAGAGCCTGGAAAACTAACCCGGTATGATGGTCAAGTGGAGGGAGCCAGAGCAGCGCCGCGGCCTCGGGTCCCCGGGGGTGTGCACACGGAGGACAGGTCTGCGGGCGGGGAGCAGGGGGGCGCCGTCAGCCCGGTCTGCACGGGGGTCGGGTCCAAGCTCACCGCCTTCCTGCTGGGGTCTGGAGGAAACGGAAGGTGGGGATTGCCAAAAGCGCTTCTCTCTCATTAAAACAAGCAGTAAAAGCGTGTCCTATTGTTTTGCACAAGGTGTTTGATTTTATTTTTCATGGGAAACCAAGGGAAAAAGCACATCACGATCCATTCGAGTGTTTAACTGTTGTGGCTCCTTTTATACTTGTTAGCACTTGTGTGACAAAGAGCTCAGACCCGACTTCTCTCGGCACCCGGTTACCAATGTGTCACTTATTCCAAGAACCCAACTATGCCCTTAGGTAGGAAGAGTTGACTCCCACGTCTACTAGCTAGCAGGTGGAGCGGGGCTGAAGGGCACGCCAGCTCCCAGAGGGCCCGGATGCCTCCGGCGTCGGCAGCTACCTTGACGTGCCACAGTCGTCCGCAGAAACCCAGAGGGGAGGAAAGAGCCGCACGTTTACATGTGTCTTGAGCTATGCTTAAGACACAACTGGAAAGCCATCTATCTTCAAAGGCCTCAAAAATACTTTTATAATCCTAACAAGCGCACACTCTTAGTTGGGTTATTCAAAATGGCACAAACACGGTCTCCACGGAGGTGGGACGCTGTGCTTATTGGCGCAAGTGGGGGGGGCGGGGGGAGGGACAGTTTTTCTCACTTGTAACGACTTCCTATTGGAAAGGCATTTGACAGCCAGGGACAGGAGCTGGGGTGGGGTAGTTTTGGGGGAAAGCAGAACCACAGTTAGCTTTAGCATAAAAAAAAAATCTTCGGTTTTTTTATGTATGTGTAATCCAAGAACAACGAGACTCTACCAGACCAGGAGGGAAGATGGACCCTAAAGTAAGTTTAACAACGCTCCCTCTATTGCAGCTTGGGAAGCGCTGTGGGCTCACGGCATGCTGGGGCCACTCCGGACAATTCAGGGCCTGCTTTCCCCAGGCCTGTGGGCACTGGATTGGTGACACAGCTTGGGGGAAGGGGCGAACATTCACAGAACACTTGGGTAAACCCTGCGGGATAAACAAAACTGGTTCTAATGTTATTACCAGATCCTGGGGACAGAGGGGTGGTATTTTTGTTGCTGGTATTTTGACGATCAGAGCTACGGCCAACAGGTTTTTTTTTCTTCCCCATTCAGAACGTTATACACTGGGCCATTTTTCTTTCACCCCAAAGACACACTGGCTAATCAGACTGAACCGTGTGTGACGGGAAAAGTGCAGAGAAACAAGAGGAGGGGACGAGGTCACGTGGCTGCAGGTTACACAGCATGTCCCGTAGTTTCAAGTCGAGGCTGCAGTCCCCCCCCACCCCCACCCTGGATCGCGCTTTTAGCCCAGCTGGGTGACAGGGAATGTGAGACGAAAAATCTTTCTCAACACTTGGGTTTTGAATTCAGGAGGCAGAAAAGAACGGAGAGGGAGGGGAATTGCAGTTCAGACAAACGCCACGATAGTCTGGTAGGAAAGACAGAGATGAAGTAAAACAGGTTTTACTGTTAAGCTGCTGAGTTCGGTTACTACAAATGTACATAATGTTAGTCCTTTGAGAGCCACGGGATTAAGGATCAGTGTGGTGGGGAACAGTAGTTACTGTAAACAAGCGCTTGCAAGCTCTTCACAGATCCCTCTTTCTTTCAAGCAAAATAAGATGGAATATGAAGCCCCTGGTCTGATATAAAGCCCCTACTGGATTCTTTGGATACATGTAAGAAGTTGCCTGTTTAGCCTGAAGACTGGTGGGGACACTTACATCAGACTTTGTTGTGAGACAGGTGAATTTTTTTTATTATATGCAGGTGAGTGTTGAAACTGTTAAAATCCCAATTCGTTTTCATTCAGTGTTAGTTCTAAATAGAGCAGACCCCCTCCAGGTGCTATCAGATGACCAGTTACTGCTTAGTTAACTAGGTGTAAAGTTTTACATATACATTCATGTCAATAGTTATCACACGTTGTGTAAAATGGACTCTAGTTTAATAATGGGGAGAAAGGATTAGGTTGCTCCTGAAACTGACTGTAGAGCATGGAAAATGATTTTACTGGATTCTGTTCAACTGTAATCAATGAAAAGGATGTATGTTGTAGACAAAGTTGCAGAATTAAAGAGAAATCTGCTTTTAATTTATTCTTTTTGTATTAAGAATTTGTATAGTACCTTTACATTTTGCAAAACAGTGTTGTCAACACTTATTAAAGCATTTTCAAAATGAAAAGATCTCAGCTGCCTCTTGGAGATTTTGTTTCATCGGCTCTGGAAATCTCTTAATTAGGGCGCCGGCGGCCTTGCTGGACTCCTTTTTTAAAGTCAATCGAAAGCTGATCTTACTGGCTTGCCAGATACGGATAAGCTCAGTTTGTGTAGTCAAGGCTAATTCTCCCTTACTCTAATTGCCTTGTTAATTATACAAAGAGAACACATTCTCTATTATGTATTCCTGCCACAAAAAGGGATCTGAGGTGAGAGGTCAGTCTTTGCCGGGACACTGGTGGTTACAAATAGTTACCTGTATGCAGTCCATGCCAGATGTGGGTCCCGTTCCCACGCAGCGGTACGTGGTGGAAGAGACACTGAGGGAATGGGGGCTTCGGAGGCCATCCTTGGGCTCTCCGCCCCCATGAGGTCCCCCGGGGTCTGTGCAGGAGACCAAAGGCCCACCAGGGAGACGGCAGGATGCTCAGGCTCCTCAGCAGCCCTGTGCTCACCCTACCGCTCAAACCCTGTCCCCCACCACCTGAATCACATCACCCACACAGCAGCCGGCGAGGCCCGCGGGCACCAAAGCCCCCACTTAACAAGACGGCGACTGGCCTACTTTTGCAGAGACTGCGCTGGAGCTGCGTCCCCAGCCCCCGGCCCAACAGGCATCTCTTCGCTAGCGGGAGCCCAGAAGTCCGGAAGCCAAGAACATCCCCCGGATGGAAAGCCCTTGCTGAAGCATCTGCCACTAGAGCGAGCTAACCCCTGCCCAAAATGAAAACAATCCACAGAGAACACGAAGCATGTCGGAAGTGAGCTCGTTAGGACATTTTACACTTCTAAGCCCTTGAAAGCAAACAGCGGCTCTGTATCTCAAGATAATCAGCGCTCATGTCAAACAGAGATCTTTTGTCTTTTCAGTGTAAACATGTCACAGCTCAGGAGATAAATCCAGTATCTGCTCATTAAGCTCTGACGATCTCATGAAGGCAACACAGGAAGACACTGCTTTCCCACTTCTCTCCACCTTTTACAGCGTGCGTACACGCGCACACACACACAGTGCTGACAAGGCAGTTCTACACAGCTGTGATTTCTGTTATCAGAGAACACAAACACCCAGAAGTCCAGTAGAAAGTAGTAAACAGAGCCCAGGCCTTTTGCTGCTTTCTCCCAGAGTACCAGTTCCAAACAGCTCATCCGTAAGACCCTCTGTAAGGCGAGCGCCAGATAGCCACTGGCCAGGGCTGGTGAGCAGTCATGCACTGCACGTCTGGGGAGGAGCCCAGGCCCCAGAAGCTTCCACACAGATTAGACACGGACCCACAACCACAGCGTAAGGGCAACAAAGTCGCCAACATTAAACAGAAGGAAAAGATTCCAAAGGAGTCCAAAGGAGACGAAATCCCCAAGTGTCTAAACGGGATCTCACTGCTAAGCTCGTCCACGGAGCCGGATGCTGGGAGTCACAGCCGCCAAGAGGGCAAGAACCTCCTGCATTACACCCTCTTTGCTGTGCACAAAGTCTCCCCCAGGGCACAGCCACTGTCCCCTCAGACAGGAGCTGAGGGGCCTGCAGTGCAGGGGTCTAAACAGCGAGCAGACTGACAGAGCCCACACATTTACAATTGTACAAGATTTATCAGAAACCCATTTTTCTCCCCATCAACTGCTATCCCTACACACGAGTAGGTTCCTTTTGTTTTTCATTCATTCATCCGTTTTCTGTCAAACCCACTCCAGGCCTGCTTTCGTTCCCCTACTCTTCCAAAACCACTGCTGTCAAGGTCAAGGACTCCCACAGCGCCACAGACAATGGTTAATTCTCTGTTCTCAGCTCATGTGACTTACCAGCAACACCACACCGTGGATCCCCTCGGGTCCTGCACCGGAAGGCCAGGATGCGACACCCTCCCGGGTTTGCTGCTCGTGACGGTTGGGGCCCTTCTTTCCAGCCTCCTTGGCGGTTCTCCTCTCCCCGGCGCCCGGGCATCGGCGTGTCCCAGCTCTGTGCTCGGGCTCCTCCCCTCTATCGTCCACCACGCTTCCAGTAGCTCTCCCTTGGCCTCAGGGTTTTCAGTGTCATCTAGGGGCTGAAGACACCTGTCTTGATCCCTGCATTCCTGAACTTGTACCTCTTCCCACCCGGCAACGTGTCCCCCGCAGGTCTAACATGCTAACATGGCCAGAGTGGAGGTTCTGAGCCTCCCCTCAGAATCTGCTCCCTCACCACCTTCCTCAGCTCAGCTGCAGGCTCTACAGCTGTCCAGGGTCAGGCCAGAAGTCCTGGGATCGTCCCACCATCTTGCCAACCCCACTGGATGATCACCCAATCATTCTTTCTCACCTCCCATCTGCAGCAAACCAGAGAGATGCAGCATCCGTGCCCTGAAGAGACTTCTAGGAGATCAGGAGTGCAGGGAGGGGGAGAAAGTCAGTTACAGAACACATTACAAGGTGCTAAGAAAGCAGGGTCAGCTTTAGGACAGGTGGAAGAACAGCTTTTCCTCCCAGTAAGGTAAGAAACGTTGCTGGTGAGTGTGGAGGCAGATGGGGCGCTGACACCCCCCCCCCAAGTCAGCCTGGCCCACGCAAAGCCCGGTGAGGCCACAGCTAAGCGTGAGGGGCAAGAGACAGCAGGGCCGGGTCAGCAGACAGCAGTCAGCGGAGAACAGCCCCCAAGAGGAGAGAAGATGAGAATGTCCTGGTATCGGGATCTAGAGGACACCGGACACTTAGCCCCCTCCGACGGCTCTGGAGGACACTGACAGGATGACGCAGCTTGGTTTTTGTAGTGCCACGGGGCGGCACAGAAGGAGACGAGGGGCGCCTGGGTAGCTTAGTCGTTAGGTGTCTGCCTTCGGCTCAGGTCATGATCCCGGGGTCCTGGGATCGAGCCCCGCAGCGGGCTCCCTGCTCCGCGGGAAGCCTGCTTCTCCCTCTCCCACTCCCCCTGCTTGTGTTCCTGCTCTCGCTGTGTCTCTCTCTCTGCCAAATAAATAAATAAAATCTTAAAAAAAAAAAAAAAGGGTAAGACGACAGGAGAAGGTCCTGGGAGAGTGACAGCGATGATGACAAGGGGAGCCTCGGGAAAGCCAAGCCAAGAAGGTCCTGAGGAAGTCGA